AACACTTGAACTTGAGTGCTTCACGGTTTGGGTCTTTGAGGTTTTTTTGTTGTTTTTTTACCTCTTCTGTGTGCGGTAAGGCGAGCGGCGATTAGTCAAGTTAGTAAAACAAAAAACACTTTAAGTGTTTTTACACTGGAATAAAATATTGTTCACAAGTTGGAAATCACGAGTCTCAGTCGAGTCTGAAGTCCTTTAAATGCAAGTCTAAGTCGAGTCTGAAGTCATTAAATATGCGACTTAAGTGCGACTCGAGTACGAGTCACAAACTCGAGTCCCCATCTCTGGTTTTAAGCCTAGCCTTAAAAGTAGACAGGGTGTCTGCCTCACGGAGCCTGAGAACTAAAAGATCTGCCTCCCATTCTACTTTTAGAAATTCTAGGAACCACTAGTAAACCTGCAGATTGAGAGCGAAGTGCTCTGTTAGGATGATGTGAGTTTATGTGAAACCTGCTGCTGCGTCTTACAGCATGTTTTAAGATTTTCCCAGGAAGCCATTGTGCTGCTTCCTCAGCCGAGCAAACTGAGTGATACATTGGCTGATGTCCGCTCTGTCAGGAGAAACGACATCCAAACGACTGTGACGCCTGCGAAAGCAGCAGAGCTTCTCATCATGAAGCTGGGAAGATGTCACCTTTTGGTTCTTTCTTGTGTTATTTGATGAAGCAGCTTATTAGTGTGATCAATAATATTTCATTTATTGATTTGCTTTTGAACATTTTGCTTTGTTCAAAATGTGAATAGTCCCACACATTCTCATCTTCATACTTTGGATCTTGTGCTGACATACGGCATAGAATGTGAAGAAATAACAGTATTTCCTCACAACCCTGTCCTCTCTGACCACTTTCTAATAACCTTCAGGATTACTTTAACAGAGTTCTCCTCCCCCAAAAGAAGGTTACATTTTAGTAGATCTTTATCAGATAGAGCAGTTATAAATTTTAAAGAATCTGCTTCACTTTCTCTCTCCACTGTGTCACTGAGCAGTGCTGCAGAGTGCAAAAGCATAGCTTATTCCCCTTCACAGGTTGATGATTTTGTTGATGGGGTTGCTAGTTCTCTGCGTACTGCCTTAGACAACGCAGCTCCTTTGAAAATGAAAACCGTTAAAAATAGAAAGCTTGCTCCTTGGTTTAATGCAGAGCTGCGTACTTTGAAGCAAAATGCTAGGAAACTGGAGAGAAAATATCGCTCCACAGGCCTGCGAGAGTCCTTCCTAGTCTGGAAAAATGGTTTACTGCTGTATAAGAGGACCCTTTGTAAAGCAAGAGCAGCATACTTCTCCTCATTAATAGAGGAGAATAAGAATAATCCTAGATTTCTTTTTAATACAGTTGCCAAACTCACCCAGAGCCATAGCTCTGTTGAACCGTCCATTCCACCTGCTCTTAGCAGCAATGATTTTATGGGATTCTTTATAAATAAGATTGATCTTATTAAAAATAAGATCATAAGCACTCCTCTATCCGCGATTGTACCTGAGGTAGTCATGGAATCTGAACCGGGTTTAGACTGCTTTGATCCAGTTGAACTTTCTGAGTTAGCAAAACTATTGTCTTCATCTAAGCCTTCAACTTGGATGTTAGATCCAGTTCCAACCAGGTTATTTAAGGAGGTATTCCCTTTGATCTCCTCCTCCATTTTAGATGTGATTAATCTATCTCTGTTACAGGGATATGTACCTAAAGCTTTTAAGGTTGCTGTAATTAAACCTCTGCTTAAGAAACCGTCTCTTGACCCAGATGACTTGGTTAACTATAGACCTATATCCAATCTTCCTTTCTTATCCAAAATTCTTGAGAAAGTAGTTGCCAAACAAGTTTGCGACCACTTCCACCATAATGAACTTTTTGAAGAGTTTCAGTCTGGCTTTAGAGCTCATCATAGCACTGAAACAGCTCTGGTGAAAGTCACTAATGATATTCTCATGGGCTCAGATAATGGACTTGTATCTGTGCTCGTCCTGTTGGATCTTAGTGCTGCATTTGATACAGTTGACCATAATATTCTTTTAGAAAGACTTGAATATTTTGTTGGAATTAAAGGAACAGCACTAGACTGGTTTAAATCTTATCTATCTGATCGAATTCAGTTTGTTCATGTTAATGATAGATCTTCAACATGCTCAAAGGTTACCTGTGGAGTACCACAGGGATCAGTGCTAGGACCAATTCTCTTTACTTTATACATGCTCCCAATTGGTAGAGTTATTAGACAGCATGGGATTAATTTCCACTGTTATGCTGATGATACCCAGCTATATCTGTCTATAAATCCAGATGAAGCTAACCCATTACATAGATTACAGGCATGTCTTGAAGACATAAAAACTTGGATGACTCTTAACTTTCTGCTTCTGAATGCAGACAAAACAGAAGTTATAGTCTTTGGACCAGAGTCTCTGAAAAAGAAACTGATTAGCCAGTCACTTCATTTGGATGGGATTAAACTGATTTCAGATAATAAAGTAAAAAATCTTGGTGTTATTTTTGATCAGGACCTGTCATTTAAATCCCAGATCAAAGAGGTTTCTAGAATTTCCTTCTTTCATCTGAGGAACATTGCAAAAATTAGAAATCTCCTGTCCAGGGGTGATGCTGAGAAACTAGTCCATGCATTTGTTACTTCAAGGCTGGACTATTGTAATTCTTTACTATCAGGAAGTCCACAAACTGTAGTTAAAAGCCTTCAGCTGATCCAAAATGCTGCAGCCAGAGTTCTGATGAAAATGAAAAAGAGAGATCATATCTCGCCTATCCTGGCTTCTCTTCATTGGCTTCCTGTTAAATCCAGAATAGAATTTAAAATCCTCCTTCTCACATATAAAGCCTTAAATGGCCAAGCTCCATCTTATATCAGAGATCTGATTGTTCCTGATGTTCCTAACAGAGCACTTCGCTCTCAATCTGCAGGTTTACTAGTGGTTCCTAGAATTTCTAAAAGTAGAATGGGAGGCAGATCTTTTAGTTCTCAGGCTCCTCTTTTGTGGAACCAACTACCAGTTTTAGTCCGTGAGGCAGACACCCTGTCTACTTTTAAGGCTAGGCTTAAAACTTTCCTTTTTGATAAAGCTTCTAGTTAGAGTGGCTCAGGTTATCCTGATCTATCTCTATAGTTCTGCTGCTATAGGCTTAGACTTCTGGAGGACATAGGGACCCCCATTTCATCATTCTGCTTCATTCTATCTCTATTCTCCCACCCTGCAGAATCTGTTAGTTCAATCTCTAACGTTCTGCTCTCTCTGCTTTTTCTCATAGTAGCTTCATCTGGTCTGTTCCTGTTTGGCTGTGACTCCATCCTGGAGAGAAATATCAGCTGTGCTGCTGCCATCAACACCTTTGTTTCTAGATGTTGGAGCTTGGCCTGTTTTCCAGTGTGGTCCTGTTTCTCTGACTGTGACTAACTGGATGTGCTCTCTTCATCCTCTGACATGGGAGCTGGCTCGGAGCTCGTCTGCCTGGCTGTGTGTTTCCTGGACGGGGGTGCCTGTGGAGCTGGTTGACAGTTGCCTTTTGTATCTATGCTTCTTTTTCTATGTCTGCTTCTGTCTCCTTGAACCCCAGTGGGCCTCAGCAGATGGCCGCTCACACTGAGCCTGGTTCTGCTGGAGGTTTCTTCCTGTTCAAAGGGAGTTTTTCCTCTCCACTGTCGCTACAAGCATGCTTAGTGTGAGGGATTGCTGAAGAGTCAATGAGTCGGTGCAATCAACTGGTTTTCTTTAGATAGAAAACTTTGAATCAATCTGACTGGATGATCTGGTGAACTGGAAAGTGACCTGAGATGACATGATGTGAATTGGAGCTATAGAAATAAACTGAATTTAAATTGAATTGATTTCATTTATTGACTAATTTAAAGTGTTATGCTTTTATATGTTCCTCTCATTTTGTTCAAAAATCCATTTAATTGAATTTAGGCCCCTTGAACAATTTACAAGATTGATGTTTAAAACGGAATTGTAGGGGACCAGCCAAGGACCATCCAAGGACCATTCAAGGACCAGCCAAGGACCATTCAAGGACCCATCAAGGAAAGTAGGGAAATTTTTGAATGGCTGCCTCTGTAAAGGGAAAATGAGAAACTGTTTCCATAGCAACGACCCGTTTTTTGGTCAAGAAAAAGTTCATCTTTATGGAAAAAAAAAAATCATCAAAAATGTTCTGCTTTCTGAGAAAACTAGATCTATGCTTCCTATCCAGGTCGGATAGAAACCTGATATTTTAAAGAAGAAGATTGAAAGGAATGACAAGCGGGACGTTATTAAATCAAAGGTTTAATGGTTGAATCTTTCCTCACAGACATGACTTCCTGCACTGAGTCACCTTCACTCCCATCAGTGTCCATCTTTATCTTTAGACTCTCAAACATTATTTACAGAAGTACAAAAATATATCTCACAAGAAGAGTCATTCATTTATAAAATTACAAATATATTTCTCTTATAAAAAGACTTTTTAAATTCCTCTTGCATCCCGGGTTCTGGAGGAGAGAGTGGAGCTGGTTCTGTTCTGGTTGGTCCATCAGCAGGATGTTAGAGGTCCAAACTTTTCAGTTCCAGTTCTGATGAAAGCAGAAACAACTGGGAGCCTCCCAGTTCTCAGCTTTTAGAGTCCAGAAACTGTTTGGAGCGGATGCAGCAGGTTCTGATGTTCTGATTGGGTGGATGCAGCAGGTTCTGATCAGGTGGATGCAGCGGGTTCTGATTGGGTGGATGCAGCAGGTTCTGATCAGGTGGATGCAGCGGGTTCTGATCGGGCGGATGCAGCAGGTTCTGATCAGGTGGATGCAGCAGGTTCTGATTGGGGCGGATGTAGCAGGTTCTGATGTTCTGATTGGGTGGATGCAGCAGGTTCTGATTGGGCGGATGCAGCAGGTTCTGATGTTCTGATCAGGTGGATGCAGCGGGTTCTGATTGGGCGGATGCAGCAGGTTCTGATCAGGTGGATGCAGCAGGTTCTGATTGGGGCGGATGTAGCAGGTTCTGATGTTCTGATTGGGTGGATGCAGCAGGTTCTGATCAGGTGGATGTAGCGGGTTCTGATCTACTCGATAACTGCTCAGTAATCCACTCCCTCCTTCCAACATGGCTACTCTCCAAGATGACAGAGGGCAGTGGGTCACATGCCTACGAACAGGAGAGAAGAGAAACATGATCAGAACCGGAGCGCGACCGTCTGGATCCACCCTCAGGATGGATACATGAAACATGAACAAGACAGATGCAGATTGGAGAATCTGGAGTACGGTGGCCTGGAAGGACAAACTGGCCTGGAAGGACAAACCAGTATCACATTTACATGAGACACTGAGATGTTTTGTAAAACAGCGGCCGTTCAGATTGACTCCAGCTTCCTGAGTCATCAAGGAGCTCAGGAAAGTGATGTCATGCCGCAATGCATTGTGGTTTTTGCAGTCTTCAGCTGCATTAAAGCCAATAAATATGAATCAAAGCATTAGCTAGTTTCTTGGCAGCGGTTGTGGGTTTCAAACCGCCACAATTGTCCCCCTGGTTGATTGGTCTGGGTGAACGAACGCGGGGGAGGGGAAATTTCATGTAATAATGTAATACTGATTTGCGCTTCCTGGCCACCGTAGCGGAGGCCTTTTGGCGAAGCATTTTGTTTGTAAATGCAGCAACAAAGGCGTCCTCTGCTGATAACAGAAGGGATGAATGTATTATACTGAGTGTTTTGACGGTCTTTAGATGGTATCCCAGAGGAGGTAAGAACCTACGGCGCCCTAAACATGCCAATTCATTAACATGCTCTCTCTGGAGTCATGCTGCCAGATCCTGTATGCTTCCCGGTATCCAGCAGAACTTTCCTCCCAGTTTGGAGAAACGTTACGGCGAGGCTGGGTGTGGCGTGACCCTGCAGTCATCCTGACAGCCAAGCAGGGGGTCCTGCAGCGCTGTAGGAGCGGCGGGAAACAGGCGGCCATCGGAGCCGGCGGCTCGTTTTAATCATAATGTTCTGACAGACGGACGGCGTCTTCACTCACTCTCTAACGTCCGGTCGAGGTCGGCGATGAAGTCCTCCAGATCTTTGGTGTCTCCCAGTTTGGCTGCAGAAGAGACAGAGATGGACGCCATTAAATGATGCTTCACATCTAATCTATAATTATAGAGAATTTAATCTTAAAAATACTCAAACTGGGATTAGTCCACAGGGATTAATGAAACAATTTTGATAAATTAGCATGAATATTAACACACTGCCAAAATATTACATCTCAATAAGTCATTTTTTCTGAAAATAAATGCATTTTTAATTGAATTAAGTTGGTAAGTGAGACACTTTGCTGACGGAACAAGACATTTAAATAATGAAAAATTATAGCATTGTCTTATTTCCAATGTATATTATCTAATTACTTTTGGAGATAAAATACTATTTCCATTGGTAGATAATTTATCTGCTCACATCAAGGCTAGAAACACTTAATTTAATACATTTGTACTTATTTCTAGATTGTTTTTGCAGTGCATCTCTGTCCTTTAGCTGTTTCCATCTAACTGAGAATTTTCTGACATCCAGACTAAGTTTCAGAAACCTTCAGTAAAAAAAGGCTAAAACCATCAGAAGAGAAAAAACTGTTCAAATATGCATGAAAGTTTGTCTTTTACTCTGTTGTTTCTCAATCACCCTGTTCCTGAATTATTTTACCAATGTGAATTTAATTCAGTATTTTAATGATGTTAACATTCTGATTGTGAGTTTATTTAATTGGATTTATGTGTATTTATTCATCTTTTATTAACACATATTATATCAAATGTAAAAAGATCAAATATTTTTTTCTGCAACATCTAGATAAAATGTTAGGATAAAGTGTCCTTCATTGCGTTTTGAACAAACTGATTATAGTTTAATACTTTATGTGATGCACGTGTTGCAGAAGGTGAGCTCACGTTTGGGTGACATCAGAGGGGGGGAGGATGCGGCGGGGGAGAGCGCGGTGGGGGAGTTCAGCCTCTCATCGCTGAAGCTGAAGCTGTTTCTGTTGAGTGAATCAGCACCTGTGAGAAAGACAACAGAGGAATGAGTCTGAGGGAGGGTTCGCCCCGTTACCCAGGCAACGCTGATCAGGGTCAGCGCATCACCCACGTTCTCATCGCACGCTTTCTCGTCGCACGCTTTCTCATCGCTCGCTTTTTGTCGCCCGCTTTCTCATCGCACACTTTCTCATCGCACGCTTTCTCATCGCACATTTTCTCATCGCACGCTTTCTCGTCGCCCGCTTTCTCATCGCACGCTTTCTCGTCGCCCACTTTCTCATCGCACGCTTTCTCGTCGCCCACTTTCTCATCGCACGCTTTCTCGTCGCCCGCTTTCTCATCGCACACTTTCTCATCACACACTTTCTCATCACACGCTTTCTCATCGCACGCTTTCTCATCGCACGCTTTCTCATCGCCCGCTTTCTCATCGCACGCTTTCTCGTCACCCGCTTTCTCGTCGCCCACTTTCTCATCGCACACTTTCTCATCGCACACTTTCTCGTCGCACGCTTTCTCGTCGCCCGCTTTCTCATCGCACGCTTTCTCATCGCCCGCTTTCTCATCGCACGCTTTCTCGTCGCCCGCTTTCTCATCGCACGCTTTCTCGTCGCCCACTTTCTCATCGCACGCTTTCTCGTCGCCCACTTTCTCATCGCACGCTTTCTCGTCGCCCGCTTTCTCATCGCACACTTTCTCATCACACACTTTCTCATCACACGCTTTCTCATCGCACGCTTTCTCATTGCACGCTTTCTCATCGCCCGCTTTCTCATCGCACGCTTTCTCGTCGCCCGCTTTCTCATCGCACACTTTCTCGTCGCCCGCTTTCTCATCGCACACTTTCTCATCGCACGCTTTCTCGTCGCACGGTTTCTCGTCACACACTTTCTCATCGCACGCTTTCTCATCGCACACTTTCTCATCGCACGCTTTCTCATCGCACGCTTTCTCATCGCACGCTTTCTCGTCGCCCGCTTTCTCATCGCCCGCTTTCTCATCGCCCGCTTTCTCATCGCCCGCTTTCTCATCGCCCGCTTTCTCATCGCCCGCTTTCTCATCGCACGCTTTCTCGTCGCACACTTTCTCAACACACGCTTTCTCGTCGCCCGCTTTCTCGTCGCCCGCTTTCTCATCGCACGCTTTCTCGTCGCCCGCTTTCTCGTCGCACGCTTTCTCGTCGCCCGCTTTCTCATCACACACTTTCTCATCGCACGCTTTCTCATTGCCCGCTTTCTCATCGCCCGCTTTCTCATCGCACACTTTCTCATCACACGCTTTCTCATCGCACACTTTCTCATCGCACGTTTTCTCGTCGCCCGCTTTCTCATCGCACACTTTCTCATCACACGCTTTCTCATTGCCCGCTTTCTCATCGCCCGCTTTCTCATCGCACGCTTTCTCATCACACGCTTTCTCATCGCACACTTTCTCATCGCACACTTTCTCGTCGCCCGCTTTCTCATCGCACTCTTTCTCATCGCACGATTTCTCATCGCACACTTTCTCATCGCACACTTTCTCGTCGCCCGCTTTCTCATCGCACACTTTCTCATCGCACGCTTTCTCGTCGCCCGCTTTCTCATCGCACACTTTCTCTTTGCACGCTTTCTCGTCGCACGCTTTCTCATCGCACACTTTCTCATCGCACACTTTCTCATCGCACACTTTCTTGTCGCACGCTTTCTCATCGCACACTTTCTCATCGCACGCTTTCTCGTCGCCCGCTTTCTCATCGCACACTTTCTCATCACACCCTTTCTCATCGCACACTTTCTCATTGCCCGCTTTCTCAACACACGCTTTCTCATCGCACGCTTTCTCATCGCCCGCTTTCTCATCGCACGCTTTCTCGTCGCCCGCTTTCTCATCGCACACTTTCTCATCGCACACTTTCTCATCACACCCTTTCTCATCGCACACTTTCTCATTGCCCGCTTTCTCAACACACGCTTTCTCATCGCACGCTTTCTCATCGCCCGCTTTCTCATCGCACGCTTTCTCGTCGCCCGCTTTCTCATCGCACACTTTCTCATCGCACGCTTTCTCATTGCCCGCTTTCTCATCGCCCGCTTTCTCATCGCACACTTTCTCATCGCACGCTTTCTCGTCGCCCGCTTTCTCATCGCACACTTTCTCATCGCACGCTTTCTCGTCGCACGCTTTCTCATCGCACACTTTCTCATCGCACACTTTCTCATCGCACACTTTCTTGTCGCACGCTTTCTCATCGCACACTTTCTCATCGCACGCTTTCTCGTCGCCCGCTTTCTCATCGCACACTTTCTCATCACACCCTTTCTCATCGCACACTTTCTCATTGCCCGCTTTCTCAACACACGCTTTCTCATCGCACGCTTTCTCATCGCCCGCTTTCTCATCGCACGCTTTCTCGTCGCCCGCTTTCTCATCGCACACTTTCTCATCGCACGCTTTCTCATTGCCCGCTTTCTCATCGCCCGCTTTCTCATCGCACACTTTCTCATCGCACGCTTTCTCATCGTACGCTTTCTCATCACCCGGTTTTTCTATTGCACGCTTTCTCGTAGCCCACTTTCTCGTCGCACGTTTTCTCGTCGCCTCTGGTTGCTGATTGGTGGAGCTGGTTGGCCGTCATCTGCTGGGCGGAGCTCCAAGCTTTCTCTCTGAAACCAGTTGTTGTTTGATGACTTATTTCTCGATATAATAAAGAAAATTAAAAACTCTTAAACTCCGTCGTATTCAATGCATCGTTGATGCCTGACATTACCTCCCCTCATTCACACCAAGGTGAGCGTGACGAGAGAAGACAAGCTGAACTCTGCAGAGTATCAGATGTCGAGCACCTACTTACTCCCCCTTTATGACCGGGATACACACCCCGACACACACACACCTCTGCAGTCGCCTCTCAGATTCATCCCTATTTATCCCCCCCCATCTGCAAATACGTCCATCAATCTGTGAGACAATAGCTGGACATGTCTGTCCTTGTTAGACCGCCCTGGACGGCCAATCAGACGCCTCCTCCGTGTTTCATCATTGGTTCATGACTGAACTCTATCTAATGTTGATAATATTTACAGAGTCGATCTGACAGGAAAAGTCTTGAGGGGCAAACAGAGCTTCTTCTCTGCCTGTGAGGGGAAAGCGTTTCTACTTATGCGGATCTGGAGGATCCTGTTCTCAGGGCGTCAGCGTTTGAATGCGTCCCGCCCTGCAGCCGATCCGCAGCTGGGCAGACTGGGTTTTATTTAACTCCTCTACGGTGGAGGAATCTCTGAATGTGTGACAGTCAGCTGTGGAGGGGGGGGGCGGCGCTGCGGCAGCCATGCCAACATGTGAGGCGCTGGTCTGATCTGCAACCTGATTGGAGGAAGAAAGCTTCTCTGACCTGCAGGAACGCTGGTTTCTAACCTCAGAACTTCCCCAAGAATCTCATGACTTATGACCAAAAATCCACAAAAGTTTCTACTAAATTATTTTGACACGTTAAATATTATAAATTACATTTTTTTTAGAGATGTTTTGATATCTTTAAGCATTTTAATCCGTCTGCGCAGCCAATCAGATCCACCGTCTGAATTACCTCACTGTGAAATACAGGAAATGACCATAAAATGGAAAAAATCTTTCATTCCTTTAGAGACAGCATGAAAAGTCAGCTGAGTACAAAACATAGAGAGGAAAACAAGAAGAAAAGGGACAAGAAGAGAGGCTGATAAAAAATTCTGCAGACTCTGCAAAGAACGAAGTGTCTTATAATGAGTGTATTTAACCTCAGGATAAGCTTTTAAATAAGATGATCTGCTAATAAGATGAATATTGTTGCCTTTAAAATCAGATATTTAGATTAATATTTAGCAGTTTTTTCCTCTTTTTTTAAAACGTAAATCATCTCCTTCTGTCATTAAACCTTCTTACACAGCTGCTCAAATGAAGGGAAAATACAATTATTTCAAGAAGAACCTCATAGTGTAAGATGTAACTTAGTCTGCACTGAAGAACAAGAAGATGAGGAACTTTTAACCAATCAGGAGCTTCTATTTAATGAATAGTGTCAGTGCACTGGAAAATAATCTTAATCTAGATAAGTCATTTTTTCTTAAAATAACTGCATTTGTTCTTGGATTGAGGAGGTAAAAGAGACACTTTGCCAATAGAACAAGACAATTTAAGTTTAGAATAAGAAAACACAATTACATTGTATTAGTTCAAGTGCCTTTTATCTAATTATCTTATTTTAAGAGTAAAAATAATCATTCCATTGGCAAATTAACTCATTTACCTGCTCAAATTAATGATAAATACTTAATTTAAGACATTTTGCTTATTTCTAGATGTTTTTTCCAGTGCGGCCATCATTCAAACTGCAGACCACCCTGGATAGAATCGGATCAGGGATCAGAGCGGAGGACAGGATGATGGTCTGGCTGTTGACTCACTGTCAGTGTCGCTGATGCCGCTGTCGCTGACGCTCGCGCAGCTCCTCCGTTTCACCGTCTTCAGGTGCTCGTCGTACCGAAAGTGTCGCTTCTCCACGGGCGACGTGAAGTCTTCGATCACCGCGTCGAACTCGCACAGGACGTCGCTCAGGTCCTCCTCCTTCACGAACTTCGCTGAGGATGAAGAGGAGGAAGAGGAGCTGTCAGCTCTGCGCTTTAGATCCTCAGAAGGACAAAAAGCGGGAAAACATCAAATAAGGAAATGAACTTGAGCTACCTGGAGCCTGCAGCTTCGGGGACTTCATGACGTCACCAGCTGGTCAGATAGTATCCTGGATTAAAGCCTCAGTGATGAACAGTGAGTCTCAGGATGAGGGGCTCGCGCTTTTAAGCGAGCCGGGCTCGGAGGGGGCGGGGCCAAGCAGGGCGCGCGTTCCTATTGGCGCGCAGTGACTAATAAAACTTTTTCCTGCCCCCCCCCTCCATTCCCGCCCTGATATCATGTTTGTAAACAACATGTTTCTGTTGCTGTGTCACCAGGCAGACTAAATATACAGTAAAACACTTAATAAAGGATCTAATATTCATTTATTAAACCTTTTAACCTGCTTTTATTATTCTACATATTCTTATACTATTATTCTTATACAGCCATAAAAAAAAACAACTACAAACAGAAATAAAAATTAAAGTTAAAAAGAAAAGTTGACTTTCTAAATGCATCATTTCACAATTTCGATTAAAGGAAAAGTTTGGTCATTAAGGAATAATCAATGGATCATTATTTATACCTAAAACTAAAATGTTCACGGTGATTTAATGAATTTAGCGTTAATCAGTAAAAAAATAAACATTTTAATCACGATCACCAAGTCTGGGAGCGGCCATTTTACCCCAAATACCGTAACCCCTCCCTCCTGCCATCTTCCAGCAGTGACGTCACGGTGCGGTAAGCCTAGCGCCATTCTCCCCGCTTTCCAAGCTAAATCAATGGGAACTACTAGACACATCTGCAATCAACAACAATTATTGAAGATTTCCAGAGGACTTCACCACTGAAATTCACCAGAGCTATAGTGAAACTGACAATGCCCACGTGCATGGCAGCTGGATGCTGGAATACATCGGGTAAAAGTGAAAAAAAGAGTTATTCCACCTTTCTGATTCCTGATCCTCCACGGACGGGTTGGTCGTTGGATCGCCAACTTGAAGAGGGAGGATTTGCCATCGAACTTCTGGCCAGAGAAAAAACCCGTAATATGTAGCCAACATTTGGAAGAAGAATGTTTTCAAGATGACTTGGATAATAGCGCGTTGTGACAAACACCAGATACAGCACTGGGACTTGATCAACAGCCGATACCGCACCGTGACAATGTCACTAACCAGTAGGTGGCAGTAGTGTTCTTTGACAAGTTTTAATTGTGAATTTGAGCGGACTTTTCCTTTAATGTCTATGAAACAGACTTTATGTGAAAGTTCTGGTATTTTAAAGACTCATTTTTTTTTCCTAACATAAAACTTAGAAAATAAATTCTTTCAACGAGAACTGTATACATGTTAAGATAAGGTAAGGAACTTCCACTGTTTGTAATAATTTTAAATTAGAAGTTTGAATGCTGGATATGACCGGACTTCTCCTTTAATCTAATCCTATATCAACCAAGGTGGTGGAAAGTTTATGATGTGGGATTTTTCCTCATAATGTGACCCTCCTACAGTCTGTGAGCTGACAGTGAAATCTCTGCAGTCGAATATCAAATAACAAACAACCTGACGGCACCACAGAGAAGAATCAATGTGGTCTAATCAAAGTCCAGACCTAAAACCTGCTGACAGGCCCTAGTGGAAGCAGTTCAGACATGAATGTCTACAAATCCAGACATCCATCATTGGAAGTGAAGGTTTCTGCAAAGAGAAGATGGGAACGGTTCTTGAACATCAACCCCTCAGAAGGCAACTTCTGAGAGATGCTGCAGCTAAAGGTTCTACAAGAGACCCGGTTCCAGGGAGCGCTTGTTATACTGACCAACACATCTTCTCGTCATCATCTTGGCCTTACTCAGGTGATTATATCCAAAGGCAGAGAAACAAAGAGCTGCTTAATGAGATGGTAAAGATCATTCACTGCTGACAGCTTTACTCTGATGAGGATGAGGATATTTGGGCTCCATCTGAAAGCAGACATTAACCTATGGCGCCCTCTGCTGGTAGAACATCAATACTGACGACCTTTAAAGGAAAATAAAACTGAGGTTAAAGTGTTTGGACCTAATTGCTCCTGTGGCTCCACTACTTTACACTTATAGGACCCCTGACTCCATATTTTAAATCGACCGTCACAAACGTGGGTTTTAAGGTAGACAGTGATTTTAAACAGAGAAAGCGGAATATTGGGAATCTGGTGGAGACGGAAAATTATTAAAACCAGTATTGATGTTGATCCAGTGTCTCTTCTCCTTGGTCTGCCAAATAAACATTGTATAATGTTCTATAATGTCCTGATTTTCTGTGGTCGAAAGAATATTTTATTACGATGGATTTCTAATAAATCTACTTTTTTTGGGTGGAAGAAGCTTATTTTGGAATTTATCCCTCTGGACTTTCTAACATGCCTGATGTACTCTAAGACTAAGACCTTTGGACGCATATGAGGCCCTTCTTGGACTATGCTGAGGGACACGTCTACCATCCTGTCTCAAACGTTTATAAATGCCTAGATTTGGACTCGGCAGATGGCCGCTCACACTGAGCCTGGTTCTGCTGGAGGTACTCTAGCCAAACTGAGATTTGCTGAGTCAAACTGAGTTTTTGTCAACCTGTGTCTTAACCATTTTTTTTTGTCTTTGCCTCTCGGCAGGAAGTCATCCTGCAAACTCGATGTTTTGGACCTTCTACCCCTGGAAGGATCGTTTGAGCTTCACACTGAGCAGGGGATTCATGGTAAACCCTGTCTGCCCTCCAACGAGCAAGTCAATTACTGGAACAACCCACACTGACTGGATTCAGATAAAGACACCTTTTCTGGAAACGTGAGTCCTCTTGCCTTTATTTCCTTTTGCAAATCGAAGCTCAAATTCCCCACTGAGTCTGAACTAACCACAGGAACGTCCCCTTCACTTTTGAGTCGCAGTTTGCCAGTGTTCATAGCAGCACTGGACCCATTTCTACCAGTTCTCAATAAACCTGTTAAACCTTCCCTTGGTCTCTCTGTTTGGTTTCTGCATATGGGTCAGATCTTGGAATAAAATCATGACAGTTTTTCCTCTCCACTGTCGCTACAAGCATGCTTAGTGTGAGGGATTGCTGAAGAGTCAATGAGTCGATGCAATCAGCTGGTTTTCCCAAGATAGAAAACAATCCCTAATGCAGCCTGGTTAAAAGCCCTAGAATGAAACCACAGTTTCTTCCTTTTATGGTTTGATCATGAATATTTAGACGAGCTGTGCTCTGATTGGTTGGTTTACAACGAGCCAAGCTGCTGAGCAAAGACGCATCATAGCAACAAGCACTCACTCACTGAAACATCAGATTGTTGATATGGTAGGGAGACCAGACGTCCTCTTTTTCCTGGACATGTCCTACTTTTCAGGCTTAAAAAATGTCCAGGGGGAAGTTCAAAATCGTCCGGCATTTTGGGCGACTACAGTGCAGGAGAACCGAGACGTCAGCTCTGGGGCTGGTCCGGGAACCCTGGAGGACGGGGGGAGGGAGCCAGCGGGGGACAGAGCGACCGAACCCGACCCGGTGACGGTAGCCTGGACACCGGCGGCCCCGGCTTCCCCCCACCTGACCCCCAATTATTTATTCCATCTCTTACTGTAACGGACTCCAAAAATGTGGAATTTTTATGTTATATTATTTTCATTATTGAAAAATTCTTTATTCAAAAGTGCAGATTCTTTAAAGTTTCTGCAAATCTCAAAGCATCCGAAAATGATATTAAAAGTTTTCAAATCTCGATTGAGTTACTGGAAAATGACAAAGTGTTATGCTACGTTCAGACCACTGGAGGCAGCAGAAGCAGCAGGTTTACATGCAAAGTCAATGTTTGTCACAACGCGCTATTATCCAAGTCATCTTGAAAACATTCTTCTTCCAAATGTTGGCTACATATTACGGGTTTTTTCTCTGGCCAGAAGTTCGATGGCAAATCCTCCCTCTTCAAGTTGGCGATCCAACGACCAACCCGTCCGTGGAGGATCAGGAATCAGAAAGGTGGAATAACTCTTTTTTTCACTTTTACCCGATGTATTCCAGCATCCAGCTGCCATGCACGTGGGCATTGTCAGTTTCACTATAGCTCTGGTGAATTTCAATGGTGAAGTCCTCTGGAAATCGTCAATAATTGTTGTTGATTGCAGATGTGTCTAGTAGTTCCCATTGATTTAGCTTGGAAAGCGGGGAGAATGGCGCTAGGCTTACCGCACCGTGACGTCACTGCTGGAAGATGGCAGGAGGGAGGGGCTACTATATTTGGGCAAAAATGGCCTAAAAAACTAATTTGATCATATCCCAAATTCTTCCACATAAACTTTGGTTTCAAACACAGAATCCATCTTAAACTGTAATCTGGTTTTCCACCATGCTTCCCTTCCTCTTTATACATAGTAGTTAGTTTAGTTGAGTTTTACTAGTCTTAGTTAAGAGTGTTAAACTGAAATATGTTTGACTTGGAGCTGAATGATTCTTATTAATAAACTCTTATATTTAAACAGAAGTTGTGTTGAATTTATTCCATAAATGTGAAGAATTAACTGTTTGACCATTAGTGCTCGAATCACTCTTTTATTTATTGTTCTAACACACAGTTAGTAGGACTGTGTGTCATAAACAGTATATAACAGCTGAAATAATATCTGATTAAATAAATTCTGAGCTTGCTGGGAATAGAATTGAACATAAATCACAGCATCAGTGTGCTTTATTTTTCCTCTCTATTATCTGTCTAAATCCCTCTCACCAGAGCTGCTGCTTGTTTATCAAATGTAGAGAGTTGTTTTTGTTTATTTTTTAAATCTTTTTTATCAAACAAATACAATTCAAAAACAGCAAAAGTACAATTGAACACATGCCATCCATATCAGTTTTTTAATAATAAAAAACAATATAAATTTAAACAGACAAATTAAATTAATCAAACGAAAAGAGAAGAAAAATAAATTAAAATAAGCAACACAAGGGTTTAGCTAAAGTATACCACCATCAAATCTGAAAACTTTAATGCTACATTCAGAACGCTAGTGCTGGAAGCATCAAAGCAGCTTCTTTATCTCTGATCCACATTAAGGTCAGCCGTCCAGTAAAGTGAGTCCAGATGCTTCTGCTGCTCCTGTGTTCGATGCCAGAGAGCAGCTTTGCTATATTAGCTGTGATCAGCGGGTAGAAAGTAGTTAGAATCTATGTTGAAGTGAGA